TTTTTTTTTCAAAAAACAAAAACAAAAGACAATTTCTTAAAAGCTAACCTCATGCAATGAATCTCCAACAATGCCCATTAGAAGATATTTGTTCATTCTTTCCACCAATCGAACAGAACATTTTGATGAGTAAAGACTTGTAAAGTCGAACATGGCAATGTCCTCTTCACCTCGGTGATTCTTGGCAAAGTTGAGAGAGGGAAGCTTTCCTGTAAAAAAAGGACTTTGGATAGTAAGACACGATTCTGATATTATGTATATTTCTGATAATATGTGCATTTTTCTGATTTTATTCAGATATAGATAGAGAACTATTTCTTCTTGTAAACGAAATCGGAAAAACATAGGTATTGCAGGGGCTCCACCCTCAGTTAAGTTTGCATTGCAAGTTACGAAGTAACTAGTGACTGATAAAAATGTAATAATTGTCAGTTATTCAATTAATTATTGATTAACAATCAACCGATTCGTTTGTAAATCAAAGCTTGGTGGTATGATACTAGTGAAATCCGAACCAGAGTTACTTTCATTTTTGATCCCAGTTTTTCCAAAATGTTAAAATAAAATTGGTTAAAAAATGTTATCTCACAAATGCCTTACACACTAACTTTCTTGAACTCAATTTCACATATCGTAGCAGTAATGCAGTTTTGGAAAAGGTACCATGTCAGATTGTTCTCAAAGAAAGAGCAAATGCTCCCTCCAATAATCAAATTTCGATTAGAGTTTCAAACAAACTGCACTCGGATATTGTACTTTGTGTAAAGAAATTTCCCAGTACCATTGGTAGCGAAGTCGGCGGCAGCGATTGCATAACGACATAGAGCTTCTTGGTCGACATTTTGACTGGATAGTAGTTGAGAAACATCTTCGTTGTCCTGAAATATGAGATTTCAGTTATTTGATTCATTAGTTACCTATGCAATTAAGATTTCCGACCGATTTCAAAATCTTAAATAAATTCTGTCTTTGCAACTTACTTCACTTTGTCCCTTCTATGATAACCAGCTCAGTTTTCGTAAGACAGCAGATGGATTGTGAAAATTAACCTTTGTAGAAAAATACTACAACTATCCACACAATTTTATATAGTCAAGATTGAGTTAAGAGAGACAACCGCATTAAAACCCGTCCCCTCCTAATTTCTGTCACGGTTCCTGTTAGAATATAAATCTTATTAGATGAACTTAAAAACACGTTTGGCAATTGAGGGAGAGGGACGTAATCTCGCTGTAATCTTTTTCCTCGGCAAAAAGAAAGGACTGTTTTTGTTGGATATTTTTTGAGAAGAAGTTGATTTTTCAAAAACCTAAATCTCCTATTGATAAAATTTTGAACGTGAGCAAAAAATTGCAATTGTACGAATCAAAAAATTTTGAATTTAAACCACAAAAACCATGTCAAATAATAATCATGAAATAAGAAAAGCATTTAGCAATATTCAGAGTTTCTTACGAAAATATAAGTTGTAACTTTAGTCATTTTCTATCGGACAACTAACGCTTATATTTGTCCAAAGATCTTGAAAATTACATGTGGAACTACACATTTCTCAATATCCTTTCAACAATGATTGTCAATCCCCGCACTTCATAAAAGACTTATTTTTAGTTTGACATGGAT